CACACACATACACACACACATACACACACACACACATACACACACACATATACACACACATGCACACATACACACACACATACACACACACACATACACACACACATATGCACACACACATACACACACATACATGCACACATACACACACACATGTGCATGTACTTTTCCTACCATAGAAAATTTTTATGTTGAAATTGTGATTTTAAAATAAGCATAAAATGAATATCACAAAATTAAAAACAGCAAAATATGAATTAAATATTATAAAGTTGCAAAATTTTTATTAAAACACGAAATAATTCAACGAAACACTCTGATAACTCTTAGAATATTCGATATTAACAATAATTATTTAATAAGAATTTAAATGGAAATAAATTTTTGCATAAACATTTAAAGAAGCCTTAAAAAAAAAGAGAAAATTTTTTTTAAATTTGAAATATATTTATTATTAAATTTAAATAAAATTCAAATTAATTTTGTATTTGAAGTGAGTAAAATTAAAATTATGAAATAATTTAGCCACAAAAAAAAAAAAGAATTACACTTACCATATGGTTTGATTGATTGCGCTTGCAGTACTAATTAAAAATATTAAATGAGCCAAATAATTGCTTTGGCCACATTTCGATGTATTTGATACATTCGATTGGTGGGACATTCTCCACCACCAGGCTTCATTAAATTAGCTATTCATTGTAAAATTGCTTTCAACAGAAATGCCATTACAAATGAGCATTCATCATTTTGTAATTTATCGGAATTATTTTCCTGAAGCGGTTATTTAATGTACAAACGAACACTCATCATTTTGTAATTTCCCGGAATTACTTTCCTGAAGCAGTAATTTAATGTACAAACGGACATTCATCATTTTGTAATTTGCCGGAATTATTTTCCTGAAGTGATATTATGCATAGTCTAATGCTTTTTTTTTAGCTTCAAACCGGATGCTACTTTTAATCTCAGCTAATGATGGAAAATTAAAAGCCTTCTGAAATTCATACAATCCATTCGATCAAATTCATTGCAAACTACGATATAACGAGATTTTATTGTCGTAGAAAGTGAAATCGAACTGTCATAGCAATTGATTTAACAGACTTTTCAACTTAAAAAAGTTTTAATTTAATCAATCATTTATTATTATTTTGTTGATTTTTTCAAAAATTATTTATTTCTAAACTATTATTTAATTTTATGCATAATTATGTAAAAATAATATCAAAAATTGTTTACAATTCTTTTCAATTATATCGCTGAAATAGTTTATATCGAAAAAATTTTAAAAAATTGTTTCAAAATGCTAAGAGTTACTTACATAAATTTGATAAATTAAAAAAAAGAAATGTCTAATTTCTAGGAATAATTTAAAAAATTGTTAATTTGCATAATTTATTATCAGCACACAACGATGTTATTTAAGTATGACAAAATGAAATTGAAATTGTTAGATAATTAAATGTTGGATCAAATTTGTCATCAAATTATTTGCTTTTTTTTCACTTTTTTTTTTAAATTTCCATCCTTATATGATGCCAAATAATTTATTGATTAATTGGAATAAAAAAAAAAGAAGAGAAAACGGAAAAAGAGAGGAAATATTAGAATTAGGATAGAAAAAATTGTCTCAAATCAATTTGTGTTCCACAATTAATTGGTTCAAAGTGGATAAAAGTAGAAACAAAAAATATTTTAAATTAATAAAATATTGATTAATTCATTTTACTAAGAAGAAAATGAAAATTTTAAAAATTTCAAAACATTTTTTGAAAAGGGACAAAATGAGCGGTAATGCTGATCGAAAATGCATGCGACAATGCAGTGACAGAAAGGCATCAGTATTGATTTGTTTATCATATTATGTTTTCCAAAACTAAAATTAGACCTGCTGGCTGAAACTAAATTTGTTACTGAATTAGCCTATTTTTGAAAAAATTAAAACAGCAGTGAGCAAAATATATTCAAAATTTATTCATTTCAGTTAATTATTTACTTAATTATTGAATTCAAGCAACTAAATGTAATTTGTCTTTTATAAGGTAATTATTATTCTTGAAAAAAAAACACACAAAACAAAATTATTGGAATAATTTGTGGCTTATATTTAAAAAATAAAATATTTGAATATAAAAATATTATTAAATTAACGTTTATTATCTTTCTCATAATAATATATATATATAACAAATTAAAACTTTGTAAAATCTCCAAAAATGTTTGTAACAAGAATAAATTGCCTCAAATTTTGCAAATGTATTATTAGGAATGAATAATTTGAAATGATATTTCGGAATAAAACAAGAAAAAAAGTATTACAAAAATGAATAAGGAATAGAATGGATAAAAGATAAAAGAAATTGTAAATGGGAATTTTAAACAAGTACATTATTCAAACATAGCATAAACATATAAACCGAACATTAAAAATGAAATGAGATTTTTTATTGACAAATTTTTTGATATGCACTACTGAGAATGAATAATTTGAAATGATATTTGAAATGAATTATGAAACAAATAAAAGAAATAGAAAGGATGAAAATTTTAAAAAGCACTTAAAAAAAATTCAGGTCTTAAAAAGTACTACAAAAAAAAAAAAACTTTAATTCAAACATAACGGAAATACTTAATGCTAAAAGTGGAATAAGATTTTCATTGCTAAATTTTCCAAATCCTTTTGTCCTTTTTTTTTTTTAATTGTTGTTTTTTTTGAAATATTTAAGAAATAATTACCTTAAAAAGCCATCTTTCTCTCCCTCTCTCTCTCTCTCTCTCTCTCTTTTTTCTTTCGTTTTATTTTGATCTTAAATAAACTGAAGTGTTTTTTGTCTGAGAAGAGAAAATTCTAAAAGACAGAAAGAAAAAAAAAAGAAAGAGAAAACTTTGATAACAAAGTTAAACTTCAATTTCCTTCATGTTTATATGTTTCGAAATGGTATTATCTTAGCCATCAAAATTTGTTTTCATTCAAACATATATATATATATTTATTTATTGATATATCACTTAATCTTATTTATTTGCATGATTTCTGTCAGATCTATTTTAATGATTGCTTCAAGTAACATCTGAATACGTGATACGTGATACGTGACACGTGTGAACCATGTTTCTTGTCTTACTTCAAATATTGTCGAAATGCTTGATGCGTGACACATTATTATTGGCTTATTTCAAGTATTGTCAAAATGTGTGACATGTGACACATCTTTATTGCCTTAGTTCAAGTATCATCTGAATGTGTGATATGTGACACGTGTAAAATATCTTTACTTTACTTCAAGTATTATCTGAATATTCGATAAATAACGTGTAAATCATCTTTCCTCCCTTATTTCAAATATTCTCTAAATGCATGATACGTGAGCCGTAAACCATCTTTCCTGTCTTATTTCAAATATTGTTGTTTGGATGCGTGATACGTGACACGTGTAAACCATCTTTCTTATTTCAAATTTTGGCTGAATGCGTGATACGTGAAATATATTGCTTTATTTACATCACGTTGCTTCATAATGCGTAATATACGTAATAAATCTTTAGTTTCAT